AGTAGAGTAGCTTAGGAGATTTAAGTAGGGTTAGAATTATGCTAAGGAAATACAAAAAAGCAATATTGAAAATGTGAGAGTGCAGAGTTACGTGTAAGGGAGTTGTAATTATTAGCCATATAATTTGTATGTTAAGAAAAAAGTGAGTATGTAAGAGATGATGGCCTTTAAAGGATCGTTAGAGACAGAGCCCACTGAAAAGAATGGAGTGGTTGTCAGAAAATGCTGTCGGAAGATCAAACAGATTAGAGAGGTGGGAAAGTTATTAGTAATGAAAATGATATGATGATTGTGGTTGTGTGTGGAGTGGAAAAGGAAAGAATGAAAGATCTTTGAGACATGAAGTGAAATCGGTCATGATATTAGAGTAATCATCTCTATGATTATTGAAATAAAGAAGAATATATTAGAAAATAATGACTAAGGAGTAGAATTGGAAAGAGAAACAATGAGGTAAAAGTTAAAATTTCCAGGAATGCAAGTAACAATGAGAGAGAGGTTTTAGATAGTATCTTTTACAGGGCATAGGCATTTCAGAGGGGAATTGGCTGGAAGAAGCTTTGTGTAGCAAGGAGGACATTGACTTCATTACGGGTTTATTTGAACATGGCCTGTGGGTGGAATTCAGGGAAACCAGTAGGTAGGTAGTTATTTGCCGGGGAGAGCTGGGTTTCAGTTAGATTGAGTTAAAGAGGATAGTTGGGGAAGAAAAAAAAAGGAATAGTGGCATAGAGGTGGAGAGAAGTTTGGCTTTTGCTAAGTAATAAAATACATATAATTTTTGATTTAACACTTCATATTCTAGTTACATATATTTAAAGGCATTCTTGAATATGTGGAAATGACACTTATTATTAGTAGTAAATAATTTGATATTTATATGGTATTCTGTGCAACCACTGGAAAGAAATGAGGTAGCCCTAAAATATACTGGTATGAAATGATAACAGAGCTACTGGGTGAAGGGAAAAAGAACATAGTATAAATATGAATTATAATATCATTTCATGTGTTTGATTAAAAATAGGAGTTCCTACATACTTACTTATGCAAAGGAAAACTATAATAGGGCACACAAACTGAAAGCATCAATTGCTTATAGGGAGGACTTTATGTGTGTATCTGTTTCTTATCAGCTAGCTCAGTGTCTGTCTGGTAGATAACAGACCCTTTGTATATTTAATGACTGAGAATATTTATGTGTCATTATTTTGCCTTTTGAATTCCTGTACACATTTTGTCTTACCACTTGATATTCTCTAATGCTATGTATAATATTTCCTACTAGTTATAAGGCTACTTTATTCTTTTATTCCCTTATATTTAACTTTTACACAATATTGCATTATTATCATTATATATATATAAAATAGTATTATTTTTTGTTTTTCTTGCTTGTGATTTGTTCTTCAAAGAACCCATTGTTTTTGTTAAAATTGCTGTTTTTTCATAATGATTGAGAACATAGGATCAAGACAGATTGCTTCAATTTGAATCACCTGATAAAAAGTCAAGTAAATTATTTAATGCCTGTACTCTTAGATTTCTTTTGTCTATATAGTGATTTGAAATTGAGTGTGTGTGGTACCTTAAAAAACACCTGTAACATAGTAAGTACTATATAGAATTTTAACTGTTAGTATCATTTATATGGAAGGAAATCAGTTAAATGACAATCTTTTTTTTTCCTCACAGTAGTGAAAGACACTATTGATTGACTTTACTTGTCTTCCTATTCTTTACATTAAAATGTTCAGTTTCTAAATCTAGATTCCATTTCTATAGTTAACTTGTTACACTTGAGTAACAAGTATGCTGTCACTTTAATGAATGAGACGTTCAGTGATTGTTCTTTATAATTGCTTTTCATAAATTGGATTGTAGTGTTCAGGAATATTAGTTCACTTTGTGTGTTAATACAATTTATAAATGCAAAAATGATATAACTGTAGAAACACTAACAATGTTCGCTGCTTGGGTATATTGAAAACTTTGCATGGCTTATACCATATTGTTTTGGAGGTGGCATTAATCAACTGTCTTATGTGGTCTCTTGATTTGCTCTGTAATCACTTGACTGATGGTCCTTTTTGACAGAATATAGCTAGTTTCCTATTGATAAATTAATGTTTTCATTAGTTGAAATCACTTTGACATTTGAAGTATTTCAAAGTATGAATGAAAAATGCAATTTATTTCCATGTTTAAAGTAAGTGCATTATATAGTACTTTTCAAAGGAAATTTCTGTGTGTATTTTGAAATTAGAAATAAATACTGTGCAATTGAATTTATAATTAGAATAAATTTTTGTAAATGGATGGTTTTAGTAAATAGTGTTGGTAGCAGATGACAGAAACCAACTTTGTATAACAGCAATATATCTTAAAATTCTTTCTTGAATTTAATTACATAAGCAGATAAATTCAGTTAATCTGTTTACCTTTGTTTTTGTTTCATTTTAATGAATCACTGTTAAACTTTTGTATTCCTATTTGTGGTGTTGAACTGAATAATAAAAGCAGCTGAAATATGTATTGTAAAATAAGAGGCTAGGCATGTGAAATTAACTCTGTACCTGGAAACTTCAGTGTTTGTGTGAACTGCTCTATGAACAGTTTCTGGAGTTTCATTATGTTTCTCATTAGGAATAGGTAATGATTGAATCTGTTAGGGGTAGAGAGCATATGTTTCATCAGTATTTAGAAATACTTAAATGCTGAGTCTTAGTGATGTGGAAGTATCTTTTTTTAAAAAGGCAACTTGTCTTCCTTTTCTTTTAAATTAAAATTTATTAGAAATATTCTTTATATTTTGGTCATTTTTATTAAAATCTTTTTCTTAAACTTTTGAAACCTCAGTGCCTTAAAATATTTTTTAAAAAACATAGGATACTTGATAGTCCAGTTTATTTCTTTAATGACTAAAATTTTAGGAAAATACTAGCAAAACAAAAAGTTTTGGTACAAGATTTAAAGTGAACTTATGTACTAAATAATAACCAACGTTGCAAAAGAAAAATAAGTCGAAGGAGGTAGTAGGAGAGTGCTACCTTGAATGACAAGGTAACAACAGAAGACACAATAGTCTTAACTTATTTAGGCCATCATATCAAATCTTCTAACAGATAGCTTTGTTATTTATGTGTCAGTTTTCTCTCAGTTGTGTCTTTAAACTATTAAAAACCAATAGTTTGCCAATGGCATTTTTAAAATAAAATGGCATTTTATTGATTTGTTTATTGAATTGCTATGTCTATTTAAAGGTGGAGGAAAAATAAGGATAATATAACTGGTTCTCATTTGAGGTCTCAGACTCAAAACCTAATAAGTTGAAAGCATGAATTCAGTTTTGATAACTGTCATTTACCAGATAGAGTATTGTTTCTGTTTCAGTGATGTGAGGCTATGGGTATAAATTGAATTAGCATAGATAATTACTTGGTATCAATATAATGATACTGTGTTAGAATCCACAGCACAACAAATGGGAGCTGAGGCAGCAGTTCAATTAGGATTGTCATACAAATAAATCTATTGCATGGCTGTGTAATCATATTGTATTGGGAAGAATATTTGCTGAATTTTGCTATTGTCAGTAACACTTAATGAAATTCTTGTAAAAATTATATAAAATTATGGAAAATTGAAAGCTGCAATCTGAGCATCCCAGTGTATCATTAAAGGAAGTTTTATTGTTTGAGACAGAATTTTGCTATGTAGTCCAGGCTGACCTCAAACTCAATGTTGATCCTCCTGCTGATTTTTTTTAACCCATTATCATTAGCTTAGTAACCTTACTAGGTTATTAACTAATCATTAACTATTCTGTAAAAGCCCATAAAATATTTCATAGTCTGTAAATATATGACATGTATTTGAATTTATATGCACTTAGTGAATCCTTGATATGTGCAGCATACTATATGAGCATTTGGGGTGATGGAACACATACATAGGTACAAAGGACACATTCATATTATTTTATTATATTGTAAACCGTTAGCCAGTGCACTTTTACATTATGCCTTTAACAAAGGAGCTTTTGTCTTTGGAATACTGTCTGATTTTTGAATACCATTTCAACCACTGGCATATTAATCTCGTCTTCAGTGTTCTCATTTGTAATGTTAAGAGAATTAAATTTATAACTACAGAGTGTTAAGCAGTGAATGATACATGAATATTAGCTGTTATTATAAGTGAGAATTCTTGTGCATACTCTAGGTTTATAGGTAAGCTTCTAGATGGGATGCTTAAATTATTTTAAGAAGTAATGTTTATGATACATTTTCACTTTCATTTCCATGAATTTAAGGTAGATTTTTAGCTGGTCTTGTAACAATTTTGTTGTAGCTCCAAGTTAAATTCCACAAAAGTTAGCGATATTTCTGCTTTGCTTTAAAGTAAAGCAGCTTATTTCAGAAATCGTATTTTTTTTTTAAAGTCATCACAAGAAGAGTGAATATCCTAAGAAATTCTAAAAGAAGAGATTTTGAGATATTTGCCTTCCTGTTGTTTGGAATTTATTAACTTATTAATTTATTATTAACTGGAATTTATTAAATTGGATAATTTTTGATGTATTTACAATATACCAAACTATTCAAACCATTAAATCTTTTCCTGCCACATTATGGTTACTGAGTGAAAAGCATGTGAGGCATTTGGGTGCAATAGTACATTTATAAGCTTAGTTGTGTAGGTCTACACAACTTTGTTAATACTTATACTTTGGTGTTGATGACATTTTGGTTATATTTGGATCCAACATAATTTGAAGCCATTTCAAGTAGATCTTCTATTCATGTCAACAGAGCTACTTTAGAAATAGAAAATACGGGCTGAGGATTTAGCTCAGCTGCATAAGCGTCTGCCTGGGAAGCATGAGTTCGATTCCAGTGTATCATCCCCCCTAAAAAAAAAACTTGATTCTGAAATGTTATTGTAAATGTCACAAAGATATCAACTTACAGGTAAACTATTTTCCTTTTTTCCCTTAGTATTGAATTTGATCGTGATTGTGACTATTTTGCAATTGCTGGGGTTACAAAGAAGATTAAAGTCTATGAATATGGCACAGTCATCCAGGATGCAGTGGATATTCATTACCCTGAGAATGAAATGACCTGCAATTCCAAAATCAGGTATTTACCTTCTTGGCATGATGCAGTATGTATACAACAATTGGTGCATAAAATTAGCGTAATATCATTTACCTTTTTTTGAGACTGCCGACCCATTACTGGTGAAAACTGTAATCATACTGTGAATGCAGAAGACATATAATCAACCTAACAAGCTGTCTTTCTCATAGATAGCAGTTGCTTTTCTGCTGTAGAATCTAGCATTTTCTGTTTTTCTAATTTCTAAATACAAATTTTTTCACTTAATTAAATAAAGATCTTTGTTGGAAAAGGTTGTTGCTGGATTGTTAAATAAAGGATTACTGTGGCCTGAGAACAGTTCTTGAAAGTCGAGTATTTTTCCGTAGCATGCATATGTCTCTATTATAGTTGTTTTTGGTTTTAAGAATTTCTCATAAAAACATTCTGCTTTTCATTGAAGGAATAATATTTAAAATTTCATGCATTAAGGGGTATAGTTTGTAAGAAGTACTTTTCAAATTTGCAGTTGTCTTGAAAATGTAGAAACCACTTCTGTCCTACTTCTCTTATTTCTCATATGCTCCTTTACGTCCTCCTAGGAGTAGCGTATGCTGTTTTCTTCCCTTATCTTTACTGTTCCCAACTCTCTCCTCTTCTTTTTAAAAATAATTTAAAATCATTCCAAGCTATTCTTGTAAGCATTGGCTTGAAAGAGAATATAGATAAGGAAATCATGTACTACTTACTTTACAATTTAGAACGTATTCAAAGCAGACATCCACATACCTTTATCTTGATAAATTACACATGTAGGTTGAGTATCCTGTATCTCAAACACTTGAAACTAGAAATATTTGTGATTTTGGCATATTTGCACATACATGCTGTTGTATCTTGGGGATGGAGCCCAAATCGAAGGATAAAATTCATTTGTGTTTCATATACAACTTATATACATAGCCTGGAGGTAATTTTATGCATTATTCATACTTTTGTGCATAAAACATAACAATGATTCATAGTGAATGTTATTTTAATAAAAATACAAGTAGAGGGCTTAATGTGTTTATCATGACACATGTAAAAATACATAATACTTTATAGTACATTTCAGTAAATCACAGAAGCTGCATTAGGCTGAAAGCTGAGTACTTGGAAGCAAAGAGATCAGTACTTAAACACAACTAAAACAGAGTTAGCCAATCCGTTTTCACCAGGTGTGAAAATGCACTAAGTTAGGCAGAAAACTGTCACAGCCATTAAGTGCCATACCTGGAATTTGAGGGTAGGTCTACCTAAATCTAAAATTTAATTGTTCTATATAATTTTTGTCAGAAAGTTTTGTATTTTCAAAGATTAAAATAAGCTCTGACGGTCACTAAAATTTAGCATAAGTACAACTAGTACAAAACAAGACTCTTTGTTCACATGTTTGGAAATTATTAGACATTAAGTTCTAAGTGGTTTCTTCCTTAATGTGTATTGCTGTGTATGTACATTGTTTAGATAGATAGGTATCTCAATAGTAGCATACATTTTAGCTGATGTAAACTTTTGGAGTACTGGAGAATACCTGAAACCATAAGCGTGATTCTGTTGGATGTTTTTAATGGAAATTTAAATTGAAAGTTAAATTGATTTAGTTAAGCCTTTTTGAATATAAATATAAAAGCTGCATTCAGATTAGATAATTTGGCTTGTCTTATTTGGCACAGCTAAATCTGGGGGTTTAAACTGTTTCATTAGGTCTCCGTCATTCTACCATGCCATGCCTGCTCAACCTTTATTGTCTTCACTGATAGATATATTTTCCTCGTGAACTCAGACATTGTCAGTGACAGCTGTAGGCTCATGTCTCTCTCACAGACACTGGAACTTTAAAAATCTAGGCATTAACTGTCACTTCATGTGTATGTTGTAGGTAGAATACCAATTGCGAACTTGTATAGATCATTTTAAAAGAGCATTAATCTTTCTGCTTTATATCCTGTTGCTATTTATTTGTTTGTAAATTAACTTTTAACTTTTTTTCCCAGCTGTATCAGTTGGAGTAGTTACCATAAGAACCTATTAGCTAGCAGTGATTATGAAGGCACTGTTATCCTATGGGATGGATTCACAGGACAGAGGTCAAAGGTCTACCAGGTAAGTATATAGGGACACTAGTTACTTAAGAGTTTTACTTCCTTAATCATAGAGCTGCTTATACAGTACTTTATAATCACAGATTTTAAGTCACTATTTAGGTGTGGTTTTGTTTTGTTTGTTTCGTTTTGGTTTTTTGTACCAGGGATGGAACTCATGACCTCATGCTTGCCAGGCAGGCACTTCTGTCATTGAGCTAAATCCCCAGCCCCACTATTTAGTATTTTTGTGGGTATGTAATAGCTACATAATACCACTGCTTTTCCAGAGGATTTCTTCAGACATTTGTGTGTTACAGTGTATCAATATGTTTCCAAAAGCAGTAATATATTTACAAAAGATTTGTATTTGTTGTATATCAGCATCTTAATTTGGTTTTTATATTCTGCCTTTATTTCTTAGGAGTAAATTGGTAACAAACTTTTTTGGGTTTACTTATTTTAAGGTTTATATTTTGTCTTCTAAGTCTACCTTTGTCTTTCTGCTATATCTAGGAACATGAGAAGAGGTGTTGGAGTGTTGACTTTAATTTGATGGATCCCAAACTTTTGGCTTCAGGTTCTGATGATGCAAAAGGTACTGTCTGAATGTCTCTCTTAGCACTCCTCGTTCTCCCTCCACCAGTTCCCTTTTTGGGTACAGGTACATTTCTTAAAATTCCTAACAACCTTTATGATGATTGATTAGTCCAAAAATAATATGAAGCTCAGAAATTAATATCTCTTAAGTGAAAAATGAATTTCTTGCATCCTTATTAAAATGATGTTTTCTGTATTTGTGCCACAAGGTGATATTTAGACTGGTAACCAGATTTTTTAGTCGCATTATAGGGTGAACTTCTTTTCCTGAAATGCTTTGATAAGTTTTACATTTTGAATTACTTTAAATTTTCAAAATGTACCAAAATTCTCTTAATGACATTTATAATATTTCTGTCTGTTTCTCTCTTTCCCTACTGCTTCCATTTTTCTTTTTTTATATTCTTTTTTTTTCTTTTGTTCTTTATTTTTTTAATGGTTGCTTGCACATGCTAGGCAAATGCTGTACTACTGAGCTATATCCTTCCATTCTCCATTTCTTTTGACCAGTTTAATTGACTTCCTAATTTTCTTGTTTATTTGTTTCTACTATTTGTTGGTTCCTCTTATTCTTACTACTCTGTTTCGGTATGGTTCTTCTCACTATTATTTTTATAAAGCCCCATGAATGGTTTTCTTTGCTAGAATAGTAGTGAGAAGGCTTAATTTCTTCACCCTTTCATTCTTTTCTTCGTGTGCTTTCCCATCTAATGGTGAGATAGCCAACAATAGCTCTCCTGTTGGAAGCTCTATTTCACATTATATCTTTTCCTTTGCCCATTTTTATATAGAAAGATTGTTTTTGAGTATTTTGAGTAATGCTATACATGAGTGTACAAATATCTCTTCATATCCCTTTCAGTTTTTTTAAGTATAGTATTTTTTGTTTTTAAAGAGGGAGGAACAAAACAAAAAATATAAGAAAAATAAAATAGACAAACAATAATAACAAAAAATCCAAAACAATAACAATACAGGCTTTCAAAAAAAAACTTAATTCTAGGATCAGGGGTTTAGTTTAGCAGCATAAGTGCCTGCCCAAGTGCAAAAGTCATAAGTTTTATCAACATACCTTATAGATCTAGAGAAATCACTCCTAAATTTCATCTGGAACCAGAAGAGACCTAGAATCGCAAAGGCAATTCTAAGCAGCAAAGATAAAGTAGGAGGCATCACAATCTCTGACTTGAAGTTATACTACAAAGCAACAGTAGTAAAATCAACATGGTATTGGAATCAAAACAGAGCTGAAGATCAATGGAATAGATTAGAAGATACAACCACAAATACAAACACACTCAACCACCTTATCTTTGATAAAGGAGCCAAGCAGGTTCCCTGGAAGAACGACAGTCTCTTTAATAAATGGTGCTGGAAAAACTGGCTCTCCATTTGCCGAAAACTAAAGCTAGACCCATGTCTATCACCATGTACTAAATTAAAATCTAAATGGGTCAAAGATCTGAATATTAAAACAGAAAAACTGAATCTATTGGAAGACAAATTGGGTAGAAACCTTGGAGACATAGGAGTAGGTAGAGAATTCATGAACAGGACTCAAACCGCACGGGAAATACTTCCCAGAATCAATAACTGGGACCACTTCTTATTGAAAAGTTTCTGCATGTCAAAAGAAATCTCCAGCATAGTGAAAAGAAAACCCACAAACTGGGAAAAGATTTTAGTGAACTCTCTCTCAGACAAGGGACTCTTGTCTAAAACATATAAAGAATTAAAAAAAACTCAGACCTCCAAAATTCAAAGATCCAATCCAAAAATGGGCATCTGAGATGAATACGCAATTCTCAGATGAAGAAATGCAAATGGCAAATAAATACATGAAAACATGCTCATCATCATTGGTCATTAGAGAAATGCAAATTAAAACCACACTGAGATACCATCTCACTCCTGAAAGAATGGCCAGGATCAAGAAAACCAGCAACAAATGCCGGAGAGGCTGTGGGGGAAAAGGAACTCTCCTGCACTGCTGGTGGGAGTGTAGACTGGTACAGCCTTTGTGGAGATCTGTGTGGAGATTTCTCAAAAAGTTGGGACTGGAAATCCCATTTATTCCAGCTATTCCACTTCTAGGCATATTCCCAGAAGAACTGAAAGCATCATACCACAGTGATATATGTGCACCTATGTTTATAGCAGCGCAATTTGTAATCGCCAGATCTTGGAAACAACCCAAGTGTCCATCAACTGAGGAATGGATAAAAAAGTTGTGGTATTTCTATACAATGGAGTATTATTCAGCTATAAAGAAGGATCACATTGAGATATTTATCAATAAATGGGCGCAGCTTGAAACCATACTCATAAGTGAAATAAATCAATCTCGCATGTATGAATACCAAATAGTTTCCCTAATGTAAGTAATGATTCAAATATATAAAAATATGTGGTAATCATGATTCCCCATTATGTGGCCTTGAAGCCTTATAAAATTTTCACTTATTAATTAGAAAGGCTTTAGTCTGGGCTTCTTGATATGGAAATATTTGAAGCTAGAGTATATGAAGTTTTACCCAAATATTTCAAGGAAAAAGACAGACACTATGGTAACTACTATTAAATCGGGTTATTTGGTGGTGAAGCAGGAGGTTGCTGAAACAGTCATGCTTTGACCTCTATTGGTATATTGTTATGTCCTGTTTTAACTCAATCTCTCCCTCATTCTTTAAAAAAATTATTTAGTTAATTCTTATGTTTGTTTTAATTAAGGGGAAAAATTTAAAAAATTAGGATATATAATAGTAACTCTTTTTGATTTCCTATTAACTTGTTTTGAAGTCCTGTAATACTCCCACAATCTTGTTTTGACTGATTAGACTCTGTTCCATTCTGTGCGATAGTATCAAGTTTGAGGGTATAGGCAACTACTTTAAAGGCAATAAGATTCACTAAGATGCCCATTCTGGTTTGACTATTGTCTCCTTTGGAAGTCCTGTAATGTTTACAATACCTAAGTTTTATTGGTCTTGTTCTCTACTGTTTTGTTCAACTTTATAGTATCTAATGAGATAGACAATTCTTTTTAAGGAAACAAGAGACATCGTTGATAACCATTGTTGATAACCTTGTACTCTGTTTTACATCATGTGCTATGTCTATCCTTGGTTTTGACTGACAGCTTTGTTTTGCCATATTTGACTTTATTCTCTCCCCCCCAAAAAAAGTAATAAGAACTAAGGAGTAATAAAATCCAAAATGTGTAAATTTTGTTGTAAAAAAGAGAGGGGGAAAAAAAGAGCTCTAACGGATATAACAGCAAGTGTGTTTAGGGGTGTTAAATAGCTGACTATATTAATGTTTTTGGATGATTGAACACAGCTGTTTGCAGTCTCTCTGTTTGAATGTCCACTTTGTATTCTTTGATACTGTGTTTTGAGCAGTTATTTCCAAGATGATAATATGTAATCTATTAACAGGTGATTTCTTACTGTTATGTTTTTTTTTTTTGTAGTTCTGTATTATGTGTACCCTTACACCGCTTTGTTTTGTTTTGTGTTTTTCTCTTTTTCCTCTTAAATAAAATAAAAAAAAAAAGTCATAAGTTTTGATTCCTGGTACAAAAACAAAACACCAAGAAAAAATAGTTTACCAAAACTAATTCTATTGGTTCTTGGAACAAAACAGTTAACATTCATAGGATTTGATGAGTTTTATATGTCTATGGTAATCTGAGTAACTCTTGAAGATAACTGTGCAAAATAATAACCTTTGTTCCTACCACCTTAAGTATATTTATACTTAAAAGTAGAATTGCTCGATGATATGGTACATCTTTGTGTAACTTTTGTTTCCTTTTTTTGTGCGTGTTTCTAAAAAAGGATCTCACAGTGTCGTCCACCCTGGTTTTGAACTCAGTATAACTCAGGATAGCCTCGAACTCATGGCATTCCTCCTCCTTAGCTTCCAAAGTGTTGGTGTTAGAAGTGTGCGCCACCACACCCAGCTTTTTTTTTTTTTTTTTGTGAAACTACCCTTCTGTTTTCTGTACCATTTTACAGTTCCAACACTAATGGCTGTAGTGCCTAAGTGCTGTGTTTTCTCCATGTCCTTGTTAACACTTAATCACTTATTGCTTGCTTTCTTTCCTTTTACGTGTTTTCTAACAAGTACAGAGTTGTAGTTTATTGTGGCTTTGGTTTCCATGTCTCACTACTATATTTGGTAATACTAAATATCCCTTGTCTGTATTAGCCAATCATATGTATTCTTTTAGTCTATTTATACTCCAATTATTTGCACATGTTATTTGAGTTTGATTTTAGATTTTCTGTGGGATATTTTGTTTTGTTTTTGGTTGTAAGTTATCGTATATTTTGGATATTAACTAATTTACAGGTGATTTGCAAATGTTTTCTCCCATTCTGTGAGTTGCTTTTTATTGTCGATAGTATTGTTTGATACATATAGTTTGGGTTTGTGTGTGGGTAATTTTGGTTTGTTTATTTTTACTGTTTTACAATGTTCTCTCTGTTACTACCTGTACCTTTGGTGTCATCTGAGAAGTCTTTTGCTAAATCCGTTGTCATAAAGCTTTCTTCCAGTGTTTTCTTCTAAAAGCTTTTATGTCTTTTATCTATTGTAATTCTGTATGTGCTGTAAGGGTACAACTTTATTTTTTTACACTTACTCAGTTTTCTCAGTACCACTTCACTTACTGAAAAGTCTGTGGGTATCCGCATTGAATAGTCTTGACACACACATCCAAGATCATTTTACCCAGCATACAGGAGTTCACCTCTAGGTTTTCTATTCTTTTTTGTTGGTTTATACTGTTTTGAAATCCAGGGATATCAGCCCTTCATCTTTTTCTTTTTGAAGGTTGTTTTGGCTATTGGGCATCCCTCAAGAGTCCACATGAATTTTTAAATCTACTTTTATAAAGTATGTCATTGGAGTTTTAGTATGCATTGCATTGATACTTCATTGATTTTTGTTGATTAATATTTTTTTCCTTTTACTCTAGGTTCAAGTTTTCCC